CCTTATGACGCCTTTTCCCGTTTAAGCAACACTGATTGCAATATTCATGAATCTTACTGTACGTAATAGAAACCTCATCAAGCCTTTGTAAGAAATCTTCAGTCCAACATGGTATATGACCGCTTGATATTTTGAGAAATGTCACTTGCATGCACGACAGTCAGTGCTGCCTTGTTCCCTATTGGAAGAATAATATTATGATTACCTATTAGTTATGGTAAATATTTTAGGACTTAAAGACTACGCTTTGGACGTTTCAGCAGTTTCACAAATTAGATTGTCGTAGACCAGGTCTCCAGCATCGCTTTTACATTTTGCTAAATAAATATATTGGCTAAAAAAGTCAACCTTTTATGTTTTTTTCTTATTATCAACCTTTGAAACAACAATAACAAAGGGAAATAAGGTACAAGGCACAACTCATTTTGTGTGTCATTTTGTGTGTGTATATATATATATATTTTTTTTTCAACAGCCATTTATTCCACTGCAGGAAATCGGCTTCTCTCAATTCATTATTTGAGAGTTATTTGGCGACTTCCCTTACGACACCTGCGCTTAACTTCTCAAGGCGATATGTCGTTTTCTCTCCGTGAGATCAGGCTCGAGTCAGCAGTCAGAGCGTATGTATTTTTATGACTACGACGGGGAAATGATCTCAGGACCATGAGGGTCGGAGTTCGGTGTTGTAACCCTATATATATATATATATATATATATATATATATATATATATATATTCTATACAGCCATTCATTCCACTGCAGGACATATACCTCTCTCTCAATTCACTATTGAGAGGTTTTATATATATATATATATATATATATATATATATATATATACGACCCACTAAAAGGAGTGTGCAACTAGGATCTAACTAGCTCCATGGTAAATGTAAATATATGTAAATTATATATATATATATATATATATATATATATATATATATAAATGTGTGTGTAAATATATATATATATATATATATATATAAATGTGTGTGTAAATATATATATATATATATATATATATATATATATATATATATATATACATATATATACATATAAAAATTATATACATATATACATACATATATATATATATACATACATACATACATATATATATATATATATATATATATATATATATATATATATATATATATATTTTGCCGCCATGGTCCAGTGGTTAGAGCACTGGACTCGCCGTCGCAGCGATCGTAAATATGCCTGCGCTCTGACTGCTAGTTCGAGCCCGAGAAAATATCGCCTTGAGAAATCAAACGCAAGTGTCGTAGGGGAAGTCGCCGCCGTGGCACAAGTGTTAGCGCGCCGAACCGCGGTCTATTAAGAAGGGCATCTAATCAGGCAAGGGTTAAATTGTGCTCCGTAGTTGAATGAAAAAAAGAAAGAAAGAAAGAAAAAGAAAGAAAAAAAATACACATACACACACACACACATACACACACACACACACACACACACACACACACACACACTATATATATATATATATATATATATATATATATTACACCTCTCTTTCTCAGACACCAATACACCATATCTCTTGGATACACCATATTTCTGTCGTTTCCCTTTCCAGATCTATAAAAGCACAACACAGCCTTTATTTTTTCTGCAAATTTCTTATACTTAATACTTCATCTGTTGTTCCTCTCCTTACCTTTAGTCTTCGATCCATCACCTTTTCAGTATGTCCATGCTCCATCTTCATCCCTCCGTAGTTTTCACATTCGAAGATGTTTCCCTTTTGTTTATATACTGATATAATTATACTTCTTCCCTCCGTTGTTCTGGTATCCTCACCTCCTCCCAGAATAAGTTCGTTCGTTTCCACATTCAATTTACCCTCATATCGTTCAGTGCCTTTACCATTGCTCTTGTTACCTTAGCTGACCTTTCTGCCTTTCCTCGTTTTATCTCTCATGTTGCTTTCTTCACCTCGAGTCTTTGTTGTGAAGTAGTTTATATTATATTACGATGGTTGTGAACCTGTTTATTTATGGCAATTTATACTTATATGCTCTTGGTTCATTCTCTTTTTTGGGAATTCGTATATTCATATTGGCAATTCATTTGTTTGATGTTATTAGTTATGCCATACCTTTAGGACTTGAAAGATGGACCGGATTCGGGTGCTTTAATGTCACAAAATATTTTGTTGCCGAGTAAATGAAGTTTCTCGGTGCTTTATGACGCAGCTTAAATCACGGCTCGCCAACTTGGTCCCTGTTTTTTAATGTTTTCATCTCACGTCCCAGCTGTGTGACCGAAGTACTGAGTCGGAGGTATGTCTGGCTGGTACTATTTCTTTCTTTTTGGTCTGTTTGTCTGTATTTAGCTTTTCTCTTTTCTTTCTCTATTCTCTCTTTTCAACTTTTCACTTTTCACTTTTCACTTTTCACTTTTCTCTTTTCTCTTTTCTCTTCTCTGTTTTTTTCTTTTCTCTTTTCTCTTCTCCCCCCCTTTCTCTCTCTCTCTCTCTCTCTCTCTCTCTCTCTCTCTCTCTCTCTCTCTCTCTCTCTCTCTCTCTCTCTCTCTCTCTCTCTCCCTCTCCTCTCTCTCTCTCTCTCTCATCCTCTCCATTTCTTTCTTTCTCTCTCTCTCTCTCTCTCTCTCATATCCTCTCATTCTCCCATTCTCCCCTTCTCTATCCTCTCCTACCATCCCCCCCCCTCTCTCTCTCTCTCCTGAATGATTTATTCGGAACAACCGATTCTTATTAATACCACAATACGAACATAACTCAATGCACGGCTCCTCTTATCTCCTTATCTCGAAATTCGGTTTATTTAATTTCCCTCCTCCGTTCTTCGCACAATGCCCGCGGAGCCGAACTACAGATTGCAGGTCATAAATCACGAAGAATTTCCTCGGCTGTTGTCGCTTGTCCACGAGATCCCGAGTGCTAAATCAAGACCGCATTTCGAACAGCAGATCTTAACAAAAGGGGAAGTGTACCTTGTTATGCTTTATCACTGATGCTGTGCCTGAGTTTTTTTTTACAGAAGGGGAGAATGTGATTTTATTATTATTTGTTTATTTATTTACTTATTTATATTTGTTTATTTGTTTATTTATTTTTGTTTAATTGTTTATTTACTTTTTTTATTTGTTTATTCATTTATTTACTTATTTATTTAGGTTTATTTGTTTATTTATTTATTTTAAACTTGTGATTAATCATGAATTATGGTCATTTTATTCGACACAGCAGTAGATTTAGAGGCGCTGGATGAGCTAGAAATAGTTGGCGATTTTCTCGAGTCAATCGGACCAAAGCTGCGAGAAGGAAAGGTTACCAAAAATAAATCTCTCTCTCTCTCTCTCTTTCTCTCACTCTCTCTCTCTCTTTCTCTCTCTCTCTCTCTCTCTCTCTCTCTCTCTCTCTCTCTCTCTCTCTCTCTCTCTCTCTCACTCTCACTCTCACTCTCACTTTCTCTCTCTCTCTCTCTCACACATACTCCCCTACACCCTTCCTTCCCCATTCACTCATTCATTCTCTCCTATTCTGTTACAAACCGCCGTAACATAACATAATGCATTTTCAATCCGTCTGGGGAACCGTAACATAACCCGGATTTATCAATGGTCAAATACGAGTTACAGCAGCAACAGAAATCATGTATGGGAATGCAAGCGCTTCACTTTTATCTATTATGGAAGGAAACAAGTCATAGATTAAAAAAAAAAAAAAAGATAGACCATCCTTATAAATGTCTCACTGGAATAAATATAAAGATTATGTGAACAAAGACAGAATGAACATATTTTCCTCATTATAATCATTATGGGGATGATATTGAGACAGACATTGGTCGTGAAATTTTCATAATAAAAACTGGAAATAATTATATTGATTATACCAGTAATAGCAACGTCTCTAATAGTAATAACAATATTATAATAAAAGAGAAATTGGTAATAGCAACGGCAATAATGATTCCAGCAGTTATAATGGTGACAACAATGATGCTAAAAGTATTAATAATGTCAGTGATAATACTACTACTAGTAATTGTAATAACGATAATAATGATGATGATAATAATGATAATAATGATAATAATAATAATAATGATAATAATAATAATAATTATAATAATAATAATAATAATGATGATAATAATAATAATAATAATAATAATAATAATGATGATAATAATAACAATGATAATGATAATAATAATGATAATAATAATAATAATAATAATAATTATAATAATGATAACAATAATAACAATGATAATAATAATAATAATGATAATAATAATAATAATGATAATAATAATAATAATGATAATAATAATAATAATAATAATAATAATGATAATAATAATAACAGTGATAATAACAGTAATAATAATAAGGAAAATAATAATAACAGCAACAATAGTGATAAAAATGATAATGATAATAACAACGATAATAATAATAATGATAATAATGAAAATAATAGTAATAGTAATAATGGTAATACTAACAACAATGATTATAATGATAGTTAATAATGATGATAATAACAATAATGATAATAATGATAATGATAATCATGATGATAGTGATAATGACTGTGATAATGATGGTAATAACGACAATGATGATAATAGTAACAATAATATTAATGATAAAAATGATATTAGCAATAATAATCATATTAATAGTAATGATGATAATAATAATAATGATAATAGTAATGATAATAATAATAAAAATGATAATAATGATAACAGTAATGATGATAATGATAATAATAATAGCAACAATAATAATAATGATGATGATGATGATAAAATGATAGTAATAATAGCAACAATAATAATAATGATGATGATGATGATAAAAATGATAATAATAATAATAAGGATAATGAAAATGGTATTAATAGTACAGTGACAAGCATGATAATAATGACGTTAATGACAACTGAAATTGTTATAAGTATGAAAACAACAAAAAATAATAGAAGCGACGATAATACTTAAAACAAAAATAAGAATAATTACAATAACCCCAACAGCAATAATGATAAAGAGATAATGAATAATAATGGTAATATAAATAATAATGACAGCGATAACTATGAACATGATAATGACCCAATAAAGTCAACGATAATAATGATATCAAAATCAACATAAGCATTCATAAAGCACTTGATTAAGATATTCTAAACCGAAACTGACAGCCAGATTATACAATGGGAACACGGAGAATGACATGACATGCAGCAAAAGTGACAATCAACCCCAAGTGAAAGGTAA